GGGGGGGGGGGGGGGTGGGGGGGGGGGGGGGGGGGGGGGGGCAGGGAAGGGGAGTGATGGCAGGGGGTTCAGAGGGCTCAGAGTATCGGAGGTGGAGTGGTGGGACTGCCGGCCAAGGAGGATCTCACCCTCGATCTTCCGATACTCTCCCGCTGCTAGTTGCACCTGGTGTCGTTCGTCCCGATTTTTGGAACTTTTCTCACAATGTCACTTCCCATACTTCTGTTGTAGTGTGCTCCACGTGTCTTTCTTTCGCACCCTCACGAGTCGTCTCCGTAGTCAGTACCCGGCTGTTGGGACTTCCGTATGACGTCTCTTCTCTCACCTCTGTTGAGGTGTCTTCTTCCTCGCTTCACCCATCTTCCTCCTCTTTCCTCATGACAACTCTTCTCTCCCTCCTTTATGGAGTCTCCCTCGTGGTGCCTCCCACTTCTCTCCTCAATTGCCGCCATTTTGCTTTTCCGATGACGTCAATTTTATTTTTTAGGGTTCCGCCTTCTTTGTTCTCGGTCTTCTTGTGGGATAGCACAGTACGACATCCTCCCTGCTTGTCCACCGCTCTTTGCCGTTTGTGGTGGTCAGTTTTCTTCCACACCCGCTGCCTCTTCCAGTCCTCGCCTTCCTATCTCTATGTTCACTGCCGTCATTGCCAGCAGGCGTGTTCCGTCATTCTCTCCTCCCCACTTCTTATCGTTGTGCCTTCTCATCTTCCAGGTCCACACAATGATGACGATGTCTTGCACAAGGGTTTCCGGAAGCTGCTATCCTTTGTCGCCTTCACCCCTCCTTCATGGCGGGATATGGCGAAGGACCTCCGCGTTCTTCCTCACGTGTGACGAAGAAGTCAACCAGTGTGCAACGAGGCCATGCCCGTTGGTCCGGTCAGCTCTCTACGTGGTTACTAACAATCCGGTGTGTCTTCGTCCTGGCATGATCGTGAAAAATATCACCCTCTTGCTATCTAACTTCTCAGTACCTGCAGACTACGAGAGAGAGAGATTGGTGACTTTGGGACTTGACGACATTGGATCCAGACTCGACATTGGGATTCAGACATTTGACGAGGGATTATTTGGGACCTGTACCGAAGACTTGGTGTTGACGACATTCCCATCTTCCCCTCTTCTTTGTCTAACCCCCCTCTTCTTCGTCTGTGTATGGTTGGGGACTGGCGCATTCTTCCTGTGTGAGTGCCAGGCCGCCCCTTCACACCATGGAATGATGATGATGTATGTTTGGGCTGCATTGCAACATTGATTGTTCGGATCATTGGTATTTACGCCTTCCGCTGTGCTATCTTGTACTATGTGAGAGAGGGCGGTTCTTGTTCTGGTCTGCACCTTTACGGTATGAGGCAGGGGCCCGGGATGGAGCAGAGTTGCTTGATGGGTACCGGCTGGGGGGATTTCTCATCAGATGCGATTCAATTTGGCGTTGGGCAGTTTAGGCAGTTTGATGGGTACCGGCTGAGGAGGAGTAACCCTAGTGCGATTGGCGTTGGGCAACGATGGTTCGCCTCTTCGAGGACGGAGACTGGAATTTCCGAGGGGTAGGAAATTGCAGTTTGATCATGGCGTTTGTGTCCTGCTGAAGAAAGATGCCTAAATTTCATTACAATGACGGAGTTGGGGAGGTTGGACTGAGTTTGCGTGGGGGAGGCTGGTAGCGGATACGATTGGCGTCGGGCAGCGGCTCGATGGGTACCGGCCGTGGGTAGCTAACCCCGCCTGGATTAGCCTGGTTAGTGGCGGCAACCTGGAATCGGGACTATGATGACGCTTGGTGGCCGGGCTGACGCTGTGTCGATGCTACTTGTATCCTTGGGCCTTTGAATAACCGGGCTAGAACGATGCTGGTCGGAGCTGCGGGTTGAGCTGCGGGTTTGGTCGTGCTGCCCTGTAACTCGAGCGTGACGGGAGCTCTGGAGGCCTGGTAAGAGGTCTCGGAATCGCCGAGGGGGGAGGTGGTTCAGGGGCTGTTCGGGGGCATTATCATGACGACGCTGGCCAGAGCCGAGGTGGGTTGTGCCACCTTGTAGCCTAGCAGATGGGAGGTTTCTGAGGCAGGTCGTGCTGCCTTATAACTCAGCAGTTGGGGGCGAGAGGCCTTGTGGAGGCTTGATAATAAGATAAGGGGCTGAGGCAGGTCGAGGCTTGGGCTGCTGAGTTTCAGCAAATAGTCTGGTTTTGGTTGTGGCTTTTGTGCAGCAAGATCCATTTTCCTTAATTCATAGGCTGCTCCTTCTATTCCTTACAGGTGGAGTACTCTGCTCAGTCAATCCACTGGGTTCCAGGGTAATCAATGCTGGCAGGGGAAGGATTTTTCTTAAAAAAAACTTCTGTTTCAACCATTCTGTTTTTCAAAATTGATGCTGGGCCCGGTTCCCAGCACGTGAAGCTCCCCACGAAAAAAAAAAAAAAAATCCTTCTTTTTCTTTTTTTTCATAACATCACCTTACGAGCAAAAGGATGGGCACCAAAAATAGCTCGCTGCAGTTCTCGGATTGTCACAACATTACATGCAGAAATTCAAGGAAAGGCTTGAAGATGAAGATCTGTTCAGCAAACAGGTGTGGCTGAGAGGTGGACAGCCAACACACACAGTGAGATGAACGACCAAATTGAAGTGATTACTTGCTTTTAGAATGAATCACCACTATAGAGGCCTTGGGGAGATCATGCCATTGGAAGCAAAACAGCATGGTACGACAGTGATACGACTATCCATTTTGGCTGAGAAAGCAAACAGCCACAACATTGGAGCGAGGGGCATGACACAGCTCCGCCTCGCTTCTCTCCGTTGATTGAAAGGTCTTGGACTCGGGGGGAGGGCCAGCTACAAAGGCAAAGAGCGATATGGAAGACAGGCTTTGGGGTTGAAGCATGTTTTTCGAGCGGGGAAACTTGGGAAAGGTACTGGTGGTTTAATTTTAAAAAAAGAAAAAAAAAGAATATGCCACATGCAGATCATCGGAAAAGAAAGAAAGAAAGAAAAAGCAAAAGCTAATAGTGAGAATGGATATGCCACATGCACACAGATATGACAGATCACCATGGAATATAGACAAGTGAGACATCCTCACGGACGGTTTTGGACAGGCAGTGCTTGCACTGTCAAGACAAGGCTTAGCCTGTTCCCCTGTCCCTGAGAAAGTGACATAGTGCAATCAATAGATATCTGGAGACGACCTTTTTTCACGCTTAGTTTTTCTGTAAACAAACATAGACTCTGAGTTGCATGAGTCCATCACAAAGGGATAAGAGAGACCTCAGAGATGGAGATTGCGCCCTTATGTGATGGTTCTGTTCTGTAAGTGCGGCGCAACACTCGCTGGCAAAAGGGCCCAGGGTCCCATGCATTCGTCACAATGGATTTTTTTTTTTTTTAAACCACTCCTACCCGTGATAGTGGTGCTGATAAGAGCAGACACCACTACCACCTGGGGAGAGACTCCATCTATTGGTGGGGAGCGTCACCTGCTGGAAAACGGGTCCAGCGTCCCATATACAGACTGTAGTCAGAAAACAATATAGAGGGTTCCTGCCAGCATTGATTACCCTGGATTCCAGGGGATTGACTGAGCAGGTTACTGAAAACGCTGGAAAAAAAACAGCCACTGAACAGAATATTGAAGAGGCTGAAAAAAAGTCTGCCACCAGTGACCACCAAACCTGCTATCAGTGGGGCCCTGAATGCCTGCCAGCATTGATTGCTCTGGAGATCAGAGGATTGACTGGGCAGGTGTGAAAAGACGGCCAGATGGTACCTTTCTCCCTCCTCCTTCCTATACCCTAACAGGGTTCAGGGAGGGGCCACTGGGGGGCACCAGTGGTTATTCCTTCCGGTTTCCTGTCTCACCCATCAACTCCCCTGCTGCCACACATCCGATGCCAATCAGAAGGAAAACTAAAGATCCCAGCTACGATAACAAATTAACCACTCAACCCAGACAACCACCAGGAAGACAAGCAGAGTGCAACATGTATGAGGGATTCGTCAGTTACAGACGCAATTACAGATCTGGAAACTCCTCTGCGGGTCTCATGGGGATGTTGGGGTCTATTGTCAGCCAATCTTTAAATCTCAAGCAGTAATCCCTTGGCACCTCTTTTTGGCTGCCTTCTTCCCCCTTCTCCTCTTCCCATCCCCCTGACCAGCATATTTCTGCTACCCATCCCTCTCGTTCCCCGCCCAACCATTCCTTAGAGAAATGTATCAGCCGTTCCCCGATGTCGCTGGATGTATGTAGACCATCTAGCGTTCGTTTAACTGATCTCCACCGTCACAATGGAAATTGATCCGTGGTAGCATTGATTGCTTCCCAACTGGGAAGGATTCAATTTGACTGCCAGGGTACCATCGCACCGCCCATGCCACCGCAATCTTCTTCCTCTTCATGTTGGTAAGTTTCACTGAGATTTCTTGCCCATAAAGTGACAGAAGGTTAACCGACCCCCCAATTTTTACCCCCATTTATAAGAAAACCAAAGGGTCATTTTAACCATACTTCACACCAATCTGTAGAGTGCACTTCTTACTAACTTATTGTAAGAAAAAAACCGAAAAACAAAAATTAAAAACATATAAAACAGCAAGCCAAAAGTGCACTTTAATGAAATTTAAGGTTGAAAACTGGTCTCTAGGTGCTGCCTCCGCATCGCAACTACCCCACCTGCCTTCCGAACAACGGAACAAGATTGGTCTATACCTCCACACAAGCCTATTCAAAACCGAGTTGGGGCCACCGCTTCCGCTGACAGATTGACAATTCCTCTCACCCACGTGACTAGGAGACCAGTGCTTGCCAGGTTATGGGACCAACTATTCCATCCCGAGCCAATCCTTTGTTAGACTGAAAGGCAATCACAGCATTCTTCGTATTCTGGCCAAACACACTGTCAATGCTACCAGCGCCTGCCAGAAAGCGGTACTTGTACACCAAGAGATACTGCAAGTCATCAACACAATGTTACACAACACAAAAGAGAAAAAGTCACCATCCCCCTTAGTACATAACATTGAAAAGCGGGCGAAAGCCTTCGAGTACAGTTCTCATGAAACCAGAACAGAGAACAGTTACTCCTCATGTACGCTCGAGTTTGCCCACCCACCAACATTCCTACGTGGGCTCCCACGGGCAATGCCCAATATATGAAAGGCCCAATCACCCATCCGTAAATTCCAATCCTACCTCTATGATTTTATTTTATTTTTTTCTATTTTTTTTTTTGGGTGGAGGTGAGCTTGATCTCTTCGAAGTTTTTTCGTTTTTTTAATAGCAACTCCGAGTCAATGTGCATGACGGATGAAACTATATTTGTTGTTGTTCATTCGATGTTCATTATTATCATTACTATTACTTTCGCTAATCCTATTATAATTCATACCTCTCGTAATGTATGGATGACTGGAATCTCTCCACAAGCCTACACCCACGATCACAGCCGGCGCTCTCACTCCGAGAGTTCGTTCGACTGTTAAGGGTATGGGCGTGGCGCCAATCATCTCGCTAAAATCCAACCATCTTGTTTAAGCCCATTTTCATCTGGGAGACAGCCTTCGCCACGGCTACGCGGTGGAGGAAGCAGTTCGAAGAAGCATCAAGCAGGAGAGACCGGAGACGCGGCAGAGACCGAGACCGGCCCTGAGTCGACGCCATCCTCATCGGGGGTGCGGACAGTCGGCGCTGATCCAAGCTGACGGAGAAGACATATGTTCACGAGAGGCGGAGGAGGCGGGCGAGGAAGGGGAAGGGGACGGTGGTCTGGTTGCAGGAGGTACTGGATGGAGTATGCAACTCCACCAGCTACGATCAGTGCACCAGCTCAGACCAACGCTTCCCCAGCGATTCCGCCCGCAGCGCCGCCAGCAAGCTATCCGGCCTACCCACCATACGGATGGGCCCCGCCACCAAGTATGCCGCCGATGCAGCCACCACCAGCCAATTGGAACTATGGGCAACAATACTCGGTACCATTACCCCAGCAGAGGAGGGATCCAGCGGCGAATGCATTCCCGGCGCCCGGCAATCGGGCATGGTTCACTCGAGAGCATCTCGAGCTGATTGAACGGTGGAAGAATCGAGACATGGAAGAGGCACACAGGAAACCGGTGACCAGAGCAGAGAGCAGTAAGGCCGAAAGTAGCAAGAATGCGATTACGAAGAAGGCGCGCGCAAAGAGTACCGAAGGCGGAGAAGAAGGACTGAAGGCTTGGCTAGCAAGTAATTTTGGACCAGCGCTGAAGAGGATCACAGAGAAACTTGACTCTGTTGATAAAAAGACGATGGTAGCCGATATGGAGCGCGGTCAGATGATCAAGATGATGGCCGAACTTGAGGCTGGGATGAAGAAGAAGGAAGAAGGGAGTAATGAGAAGAGAAAGAGGGCTATCGGAATAGGCTCTCCAACAGCACTACGATCAAGATCTAGATCAAGGAGCAGTGGGTTGAAGATCAGGCAACCAAGCATCTTACTTTCTTCCGATGACGAGGGTAAAGGAAAAGGACCTCAAGCCGCAGAAGTTGAAGCAGATCTGGGAATGAAGGTGAAGTCTGAAGGATCTGATGTGAAGCTAGAAGATGTGATGAAGATGTTAACCGCCATAGCAGGCAAAGTTAACACAGAGAATAACTCGTACGGCGAGACGAAAGAAACAGCTACGACGGGAAAATCCAGCGCGGTCCACAACCAGGACCCGACTGGAGAGAAGAGTGACGAGTCCGGGGAAGACGAAGGAGAGAAGCTCCGCGTCAACCGGGGAGGAGGTACTGGCGGGAGCAAACATGATGTTGGGATAGTGGAGTACATGCGACAGAGACTGGACCATTACATGGATATGAACGGGAAGAAAGTGAAGAGCCTTTGCGCGAAGAGAGATATAAAATGGGAGCGCAAAGACAAGGGAGCCTGGGAGCTGGCCAAGCAGGACACGGATGAATTCACACGATTGATTAATGGAGATGAAGAAGGAGATGCTGACGCTGAATCAGAATCCACCCACGAAGCACCGGATGAAGAACCTGAAGCATCGGAGGACAACGGATCGGACGGAGTTCCGGGGAACTAATTCCATCCAAACGAAGTCTCCTACGTGCACTACCAAGGATCTGCAACGCGATCCCGAATCTGAATGATCGGGATAGATTAAAATTCGAGAAGGTCCTCCGTATTGGGACTATTTTCGCCTGCTGCCTGGGCTACATTAGATGGGGACGGACATTCATGAAATACTGGCACGAGGTCGGGATCGAGAATCTCGTGACCGAAAAACCGATATCGTCATGCGTATATCTATTGATATCTCCCTTTTGTAGGCAGACATATGTGGGACAGACGAGTAGGAAGTTGCTAACCAGATGGAGGGAGCACGTCAGGAGTTCCGCCAGTTTTCCAGAACAGAAAGTTCATAGATGGTCGGGGAAGATGGGACCAGAGACGTACTGCGTGATTCCATTATGGGTCGGGGAGAGTGGTGAGCTCAGGAGGATAGAAGAGAAAATTATTGGCGAAGTGAATCCTTGCCTGAATACACGCAAAGGGAAACGAAGAAGGAAGCCACGGCGTTGTAGAAAAAAGAATGCAAAGAGCGTGTGTGCTAGCTCAAAATGGGCTCCGCTGATGTTTTACTCTGACCTTGATCAGAACCATACTGGGAATCTAATTAATATTTTAAATCACGCGAAAGGAAAAAGTCGCCCGGTAAAGATTACATGTACAGGAGGCACCAGATGGTTGATTGCTTGGAAACTGGTTAAACTAGTTTATGGGAACTCGAAACTGAGAGATGAGTTCGAAGGAATGTACCTGCTGAAAGATATGAAGCAACTGTTTGAAAAAGGAGGAGAATGGCATCTTACGAGTCTCGTCAAAACTGAGTCTAAGGCAGACAGAATGAAGGTTGAACTGATTTCCCTACTCAGGGCACCCTGGAAAAGGCGTAGTGTATTGAGAAATAAGACCGAAATTGAATTACTAAACAACCTGAAAGGTCTGAAGTCTGAAACCAAACGGGGCAGACAGATAATCAGGAGCCTGGTTTCCAACGAATTGAAGAGGCGACTCGGATTTAACCCAAGGCAGAGGATAGTTGTGAAAATCCCATTTTGTCCTACTATAGACAAGAGTTGTGTCAGAAAGGGAGTGTGCGAGTGGTTAGATGAAAAAATCAAACCTCAGGAGCTAGCTGACCTGATGCAAAAGAAGCTGCGTGTAGTCTCGACGAAAGCCAAGACCGTCGCTGATCTTCTGCAAAACCATAAAGCAACCGCATCTGAGTCTAATCAGAAATGCGAATGCGACAGGTACGAACTGCCTAAAGTCGATGGGCATGTACGGGTCAGACTAAGTGATGTTCCTGAAATTGACTCTTTCCTCTATAACTCTCGTAATGTCCCCTACCCTGGTCGAATGGAGAATCTGAAAACCGTGAACGATGCATGCAGACTAGCATTGCAAGTAGTAAGGAAAGCCGGGATTACCGAAACTTTCAGGATGTCACCCCTCAAACTTCGCAAGACTGGACCTCCTTTACCGGAGGGTACGGTATCATGCGAATACGTGCAAGGGGTAAAAGGAGCCTTCTCAGGCCTAACCCTGTCCCCCCTTGACCGAAACCCGGGGGCCACCTTAATTGAATGTCCACAACGATACATTGAAGGAATGTTAAGCACTTTCAACAACAACGGGGACTTTCAGAAAATCGAGAAAACAGAGAACAAAGTGCTACGGGATATGAGAATCGAATTCAAGCAAAGAAAGCTGAGCAGAATCCGACGATGGGATAATAAGGGTAAGATTCAGAATGCATTCGTCCAAGTAAACCTACGTACATGGTCACCAGAAGTTTTCAATCCTTTGGACCAATGGAACAAAAAGTGGCAACCATTATCGGGACGTTGCACCGAATAGTAAGGAACACCAACTCCGATGCACTTCTTCCTCTGTGTCTGATGACACTGCACAGAGAAATGAAAGGGGTGGGGTTCCCGACAAAGACACTAATGAGCATTTTTAAGAAATTTTCGAAGAGGGCGGGAGGAGGGTTTTTTTCTGAACTAGTCTCCAGACTCGAGGGGTGCTACAAAGAGTGGGAATGACTTCGGATAGGTAGGAAGGACCGAACAATAGCCAGTACCCTGGACATTGGCCCCGGTACTACACTGGCAAAGCGGGAAACAGGCGAGGTGAGAGCAGGATGACCTGGTACGGAAGAAGCACGCGCGAGGCCACATGACGAGTGGAGACAAATAAACGGAAGCCCTACTCTGAAGCACCCGAGAAATCCTCAGCGATCCGTCACATAAAGGCCAATTTTGAAGCAACGCACAGAGAGCGGACATCGAGCCCGATACATGCGGACCAAGACGGGTAACCCATTGCAGAGGTACACGCGCAACGCCGCAGCAGACAGAGGTAAACGACGGCGAGCTAGGCTGGATCTCTGAACAGATGAAACACGGCATCAGTAAGATATCGTCGATACGAGTGAACTCGGCGGTGAGCATATGACGCACCGCGTTGGATTTGCATGAGCGTTTTTTCTGTATCGCACTTATTGCATTTTTCTTTTTAATTTTATTTCTTTTCTTTGCTTTCTTCTTTTTTTTAAAAACTTTTGGTGCTCGACACTTTAGGTGAAGAGCCGAAGTGAGTAAGGGTATATATAGACTTGAGGATGGATGTCCTTACAGCAGACTGAGTAGCGTTGAGGAGAAGGTCTGTGGCATGGGCGGTATGCTTTGCTTACGATGTGGTTACGCTGCGATATTAAACCTCTAACTACATTGTATTTCGAGTTTTATCTCTCTAAATCTGTCATGCTCTGGATGATCTTCAGGGAAGGAGCACATCCACCCACACTCATCCAGCCGTACAAAAGCAACAAACATACACATGTTGTGGGCCACTTGTTCCAACACAAGCACACCGGAAAGGAAAAAAAGTACTA